CCCCAAAACCCCAAAACCCCAAAACCCCAAAACCCCGGGTGTTAGCCTGCTTAATGAATTTAAAATTTAAAAGCTTAAGAGAAATGGAGCAGATAAATAATTTAGTTGCTGCATTTGATGTGTGGTGAGGAGATTATGGACATAAGGGACTAGATGAAGAGCTTGGTAGTCGTGAGCCAGACCTGGTTGGAGATTCTCATACTTTGGAAAAGCCTGGTAAGAAGTTAGAGGAGTACAAAAGGATAGTTTATTATTTTGAATATTGTGCCAAGATGCTTGAGTTGTATTCTTCTTCTTTAACAAAAACACCCGTTACTCGGATTTGACAGATCAACTATGTACTACTTAAATTAATTGACAAGATCCAAAAGACTGATTGGAACTATACAAAGAATGAAGATAGCAATCTTTGTAATCTTTCTAAACAATTTTGAGTAGATATTTCAGAGCTCCAAGAGAGGTATATACATCTTCTACCTCAAGAAGAACAAAAAGAATGGTGCTCAAACTATGGAATCACTAGAGCATCTCTGAAATAGAAGACATCATTCTTATTCAAAGAACATTGTAAAGACTTCTTCATACGAGGACTCAAAATGACTCTCAGAGAAAAGGAAAAATATCAACAAAATCCTATCAAAATGACTCCCTATGAGCATAGAAAAAAGAGACCAGAATGAACTCTCAAAGATCTATCAACAGTTATGGACAAATGTATTTCATAATCTAAGAGGTCAAACGAAATAACTTCAAGAAACAAATGACTCTACATTTTAACTGTAGCAAAAATTACTCAGAAGGGGTTCTCAAGAAGATTAAGTTTCTCTCTTTACCTATGATAGAAAAAGTAAAGGTGAAATCAGTGTCAAAAAGGAATAATGGTGATCAATTCTTAATGAACGATTCATTTCAAAACAGATATAGTGGCCTCTATTTTTCAACGAAGGATTTAATTAACACAAATTATTGCTTAAGAAATATAGCCAGGATTTTGCCAACGATTAAAGAGAAGGTTCATCTCGATAAATTCAAATTATCCCTTTCTCACCTCAAACATATTTTGAAATCATGAGCTCATGTGAGTTATCTGGTTCTCGGAAATTGTATTGTCTCAGTTCCGGAAATCCCAGATCTCTCGATTTGTCTCAAAGGAACAGTGATATCAAGCTTGAGCCTAGTCTCATGCTCGTTTATGCCTTCTTGCTGCGAACCCTCCACTGTTGTAAAGAATCTTCTTGATGGAATTTTAAGCACAGAGATGAAGAAAACCCTCAAAGAGATCAGGCTTGTAAGAAATAAAGACTTAGTAAAATCTGAGATAAAACAAATCCTGAATAAATGAGGAATGAAAAAGATCAGCATTAAAATGAGGAATGAGAATTAAGTTTAAAACAAATTTTTAAATGATAGCCAATAAGAGTGAAATTAGATTTAGTATTGTTCATAATCTTTCAATTACAAAAATTAAACTTGGGGTTTTGGGGTTTTGGGGTTTTGGGG